GATGATGGCATGTTGAGGAGCAACTGACATTTACCATGCATGCACATATACATAGAGCTTGGGTTCCTGTGTACATACACATGTGCTGGCTAGCGCTATTGCACATGGATTGACTAGGTGCAGGCAGCGGGAGGCATCACATGTCCTGTTGTCTCCATTTATACAAGCATGATGAGGCTAGCAAGTTCACAGTCATGCACCCTTCTCTTTCTGTGTCTTCTTAGCCATGTTGCGGAGGTTCTTCCATTTGTGGCGGAGTGACTTCATCAATTCTTCAGCAACATCCTCCTCGGTTGTGTTTGCCTTGGCCTTAATGCCTACCATGGTGGCGGCACCTTCAGTTCCGCCAAATTTATTAATAAGTTCTGCAATCCGAACCTTCACCTCCTGTGGATTGATAAAAGCATACAACATTACAGGAGGGTGTCTTAGGGTTAGCCCATGCAAATATTTCATCAGGATGTATGATGTGTGAAACAGGGGGGTGTATCTACGCCCGTGGCAGCTACCCTGCGAAACCCTGCCTTCCCCGGTATTTCGGGGCACCCTCATCCAGTCACCCTAGTCAACTTCTCAGTGGATCGCTCAGGTTTCGCACCCACCACCATTTCCAACGGAATCTGCCAGGTTGACAGCGGCCCAACTCCATTCCTGGTCAGCTCGCGGGTTATCTTTACCCCAGGTCACCACCGTCCATCAACTAAGGGGGCAATGTCTTCCACCATCGGAAGGACTTTAACCCTAACGAGTATCGATCCCGGGATCTCTCGGGGGCAATGGTCGCGCCTTACCAGTGGTGCCAAACCCTCTATGGATGTATGTTGTGAATAGTAAAGAATCCTGGACCATGACACCTTACCGGGATGTCCTTGAAGTTGGATGCAGACATGATGTCCGAGTGAAACTCCTTCTTAAGCAAGCCCGCCATCTCCTGTGCGGTACATTTTGTCCTCTTGCTGCAGTCATTGCTTGCAGCAGACTTTGCACGCTTCCGGACCTGCTGACCCTGTGCTCCCACGTCTCCCTGGCAGAGTGCATTCAGACCCGCAAGAAGGAGTGCAAGCTCAAACTGCTTCAGCCCCCCAGACAGCAGGGCAGACTTCATGTCCTCAGTGAAGTGGTTGATAGCCTGCAGCTTGGGGTTGTTAAAGTCTGGGGCATACATGCCATTCGCCACCAGAATTCCACATACTGCAAAGGAGTGATGAAAGGAGCCCTCACTCCCACAGTAGAGTTTATACTGCTCAGGCCACTGGAGGATGGCCGCGAGGAGCCGGCCCTCGTCGGCCTTCAAATCCAGGTTGTGCATCTCCGCCCAAGTTTTGTGTTGGTCTGAGAAAAATTAAGATGCATCTCAGGAGCGTGATTCACCACCACTGCAGCAGTGTCCTCGACGACAGCCGCTTCTGCAGCATGGGTCGGCATCTGCAGCAGAGAATATTGTTAAACCCAATATGACAATAAACATTGTAAATATTTATGAACTGAGATCTTTCACAGAGGAAGGAAATGAGAACCCTAAAGTAGGGTCCGCCGCCTAGGTATCTTTAACCACCCGTTGGGACACCACATACCTTCACTTGTTGCTTGCTAAGCTTTGATGATAAGACAGTAAGCCTAGTGGATCTGCGAGTCTCAAATGGAGCTGAGTGGGTACTCTGTCGTCTGATAGGCGAGCGAGGCGACCGGATATTGTCAACAATGGCTTGAAGTCCTAGCTTTGCAAGGAATTCCTTTTGTTTGGCTATACGAATAGCACGCTCCTCATCCAAGCTTAGATTGGAATGCTGAAGAAATTCGGTCCTTGATGAACCCTGGACACTTTCCGGACCTGAGATTTTAGGAAACTGCATATGGATGAATTATATGGATGAAAATAATATGGTTTCGTGAGCTGGCCATCATGCAACATGACTTGCACCATGTGCCGTACCCTAACATATGTGCGTGTACGACAGGCAACCCAGCTCCTGTTCAGGGGCTCGGCTGTCACCCTGGCACCTGTACAACCCCGTGGCTTGCAGCCTGACATGTCCACTTACCTGCTGCAGCCCGCTGCCTGATGCCAGCGCCATCCCTGGCTGCAGCAGCTGCATTGCCCCCGGCCGCCCATCCTATTCCCCTGCTTCGGCGCCTTCGGCAGCCATGGCAGTGTCCTCCTCAGCGGCAGTGGCACCCATCTCCGTGTTGGGCTGGATGGGCAGGGCAGAACGGAGGAAAGAGGGACATGGAAAGGGTGGGGGCGGGCCGCGAGTAACTGAAAGCAAGGCTCAGGGGTGGCTTTGTGCCCAGCATGAACAAAGGCAGGCGACTGGGTTTTCATGAGCTGGCCATCATGCAACATGACTTGCACCATGTGCCGTACCCTAACATATGTGCGTGTACGACAGGCAACCCAGCTCCTGTTCAGGGGCTCGGCTGTCACCCTGGCACCTGTACAAACCCGTGGCTTGCAGCCTGACATGTCCACTTACCTGCTGCAGCCCGCTGCCTGACACCAGCGCCATCCCTGGCTGCAGCAGCTGCATTGCCCCTGGCTGCCCATCCTGTTCCCCTGCTTCGGCGCCTTCGGCAGCCATGGCGGTTTCCACCTCAGCTGTGGCGGCACCCATCTCCGTGTTGGGCTGGATGGGCAGGGCTAGTAATAGGAACCAAAGGGGATAACTGAGTTGTGTTCAGCCCACAAAGATTAGCTGGGAACAAGGCGCTAACTTCAGACAACACAAGATCGCCCGATAACTGTGCAAGCAAGCACAAGTCAGAACGTCGTTTGTTGGGGAATAGGGACGTCAAAAGTAACAATATACAATACATTTGGACCCAGTTTAATAAGGAAGGAAATCAGAGAACACAGCGTTACTGGCACATTGGGTGTCAGTAACAGTGAAGAGATGGCCGAGCGGGATGAAGTGCACGGTGGAGTCGGAGGAGGTCCGGAGGAGAACGAAGTAATGGCTATGATGAAGGCGATAAGAATGGCACGCGACGAAAACACCCAGAAGGGGACGATGCGGTGATCAACGGACTCCGCACCTTATCCCACGTTGTCTGAAAGCAGGCGCAGCCAGCTGCAACTAGGCCTACCCAGTTGTGTGTAAGAGGGAAAGGGGTGTCCCTAAACCGGCCGCAAAGGGTTGGCAACTACGCATGTTTTGCTGGGG